GTCAAAAGCCACCAAAATGTGCTTTCAATAAAGACTAGATTCTTTTTTTCTCTTTTTAAGATTCTGAATGTAAAGACCTAGACAAAAACACTTTTCATACAATCAAGTGAACCAAAGCCTTAATGGAAGTAGGCTAAGGAGTAAAGGAGTTAGGAGGTGATGAGCAGAGACTATTTGTTTTGCAAGAAATTTCTTCATGAAGAGAAGCAGTAAGAACCTGGCAGTCAAGATGGGGCAGGGACATGGGCCAATAAGCGGAAAAGTCTGTTTTTCTAAAGTATTTTCTGGAGGGAAGGAGAAGTCAGAAAGATGGAAGAGAGAGTGAGTAATGGATGGTTCAAGATCTCTCAGGTAGCAAGATGGGACAGAATTTCAAATCCCGTGAAGCAATTTGCCCTTAAGATAAGAGAAGAGGTATTTCTTTAGTTTAGATGAGGAGAGGAGGGGAGCTAAGAATGGATGGATAGGTACCTCTAGAAAAGAGAAGGGGTATAGGAACTTGAGGAATTTATAGTCTGATGGCTTTTATTTTTTCTGTGAAGTAGAAGATGCCGATATTTTGTAGGAGAAGGGTGTGCCAAAAGATGAAGTAAGTGACTTGAAAAGGATAGTAAAGGCTTAATTTAAAAAAATTATTGTTAAATAGGACCTGAAGTGACAAACCAGAACATATGACCATGCCAGATATTTTGCAGGGAGGGGTGAGGTATGTTGGGCAGAAGGACAATGGAGTAAAGGAGTTGGGAGTTTTGGAAGGAAAGTTGTAGAGGTGATAATCTTGGCTAAAAAGGGAAGAGAATGAAACTAGGAGCGTGTTGGTCAACAGACAAGAAGAAGAAGGTTCCCAGGAGTCTAGACGAAGTCAAAATGAGGAGATGAAAGAGTAATAGACAGAGGAGGTTTTGCTTTAGAGTGTGGTATTAAATATTTCCAAAAAATTTTAAGTGATGGTGCAACCTATAGTAACGAGTAGCTGTTGTGACACAAGGTGAAAGTGGATGGAGATACAGTAAATCAGATAACTGTGGCCATGACATGAAAGGTTAGATGTTAGAAATCTCTTGGTTGAATCAGGAGGGTCTCTGACTATTAGATCATTGGTCCCCATGAGATGTCCGTTGTCATTGACGTGAATCTAGCTGTTGTCAGGAATCTCTAAAGTCATGCTTTCAGCAAGCCAAATACATGTGTTAGCTTAGCATATAATGTAAGATTTTAATAAAACAAGATAAAATTTCACTTTAAGAACAGCATCTTTTTATCTTAGTAATACATTTTTGATGTTGTCATATATTTTTATTTCAGTCATACAAAAAGATATCAAGAGATGTGATGAAAGCCCTTATACCCACTACTCAAATGAAGAAATAAACATTACAAATATCCTTAAAAATTGTTTATGTCTCTTTTCTTTTCTATCTGCTCTCAACTCCAACCTATGTGTTACTAACCTGGGTTTGCTGTTTATGATCTCCTTATGTGTCCACATAGTTGACATTTTAATTACACTTTTTATTTTGAGATAATAGTACATTCACACTCAGTTGTAAGAGCTAACACAGAGAGATCCAGTATATCCTTTATCCAATTTCCCTTCTTTCAAAACTAGTACAATACCACAACCAGAATATTGAAATGTCAAGATCCAGAACATTCTTATAACTACAAGGATTCCTCATGCTGTCCTTTTTTAAGCTATGCTTGCTTCTCTCCCATTCTTGTCCATTCCAGACTCACTACCAACTAAAACCCTGGCAGCTACTAATCTGTTCTCTATTTCTATAATTTTGTCATTTCAAGAATGTTATATAAATAGAATCACACAGCATGTAACCTTTTGGGGTTGGTTTTTTCACTCAGTATAATTATCTGGAGATTCATCCAGATTTTGTGTGTATCAGTACCTCTTTTGATCACTAAATTATTTACCAACCATTCTTTTTATCCCTGAGTAGTAAGCCATGGTGTGAATGTACAACAATTTGTTTAATCATTCATTCATTGAAGGTATCTGGGTTGTATTTTCTGGTTATTACTAGTAAAGCTACTGTACACATTCATGTACAGGCTTTTGGATGAATTTAAGTTTTTTTTTTCTTTGGGAAGAGTGCCCAAGAGTGGAATTGCTGGGTTGTGTGGTAGTTGCATGTTTAAATTTTTAAGAAAATTTCTACATTGTTTTCCAGAGTACCTTCACCATTTTACATTCCCACAAGCAATGTATGAGTGATCTAATTTCTTTCACCCTCGCCAGCAATTTGTGTTGTCACTATTTTTTATTTTAGCTATTCGGAAAGGGGGATAGTGACATCTTACAGTGGTTTTAATTTGTATTTTCCTAAAGACTAATGATGTTGAGCATCTTTTCATATGCTTATTTCTCATCTGTATAGTCCCTTCAGTGCAATGTCATGCCTTGCCCCTTTTCTATGTGAATTATTTGCTCTTGTACTATTGAATTTTGCGGGTTCTTTATATATTTTAGACACAAACCCTTTGTTGTGTATGTGGTTTGCAAATATTTTCTCTTAGTCTGTAACTTGTCTTTTCATCCTCTCGACATGGTCTTTCACAACAGCAAAATTTTTAATTTTGATGAAATCCAGTTTATCACTTTTTTTCTGTGATGGATTGTGCTTTTGATGCAAAGTCTAAGAACTCTTTGCTTGGCCCTAGATTCCAAAGATTTTTTCTGAGTTTTTTCCTAAAATTTTCATAGTTTTACATTTTATATTTATGTTTGTTGTCCTTTATGACTGAATTTTTGTATAACTTGTGAGACTGGGTTGCAGTTCATTCTTTTGTGGGTTGTTTTTTTTTTTTTTTTTTTTTTGCCTAATCACTCCAGCACCATTTGTTGAAAGGTCTCAATAGAATTGTTTTTGCACCTATGTCAAAATCATTTGGGCATATTTGTATGGTTCCATTACTGGGTTCTTTACTCCATTGCATTGATGGGTGTGTCCGTGTCTGCCATGTACCAATACCACACAATCCAGATTACTGCAGCTACAGAATCAGCCTTAAAATCTGGTAGGTTGATTACTCTCACTTTATTTTTCTTTGTCAAAATTCTTTAGTGATTCTAGTTTCTTTATATTTCCATATAAAATTTAGAATAATTTGTCTATATCTTCAAAGAATAAATCTTGCTAGGATTTGATAGGAATAGCATTAAACCTAATACCAATTTGCGGAGAAATGACATTTTCACTAACTTGAGACTTCCAATCCATGAATTTGATATCTCTTGATCTATTTAGATTTTATTTGATTTCTTACCTCAGAATTTTGTAATTTTCAGCATACACATGCTGTATACGTTTTCTTAGATTTATTTTGTTTTGTTTTGTTTTGAGGAAGATTAGCCCAGAGCTAACATCTGCCACCAATCCTCCTCTTTTTTATTGCTGAGGGAGACTGGCCCTGAGCTATCATCCGTGCCCATCTTCCTCTACTTTATATGTGGGATGCCTACCACAGCATGGCTTGCCAAGCGATGCCGTGTCCGCACTCAGGATCTGAACCTGTGAACCCCAGGCCGCTGAAGTTGAAGGTGTGAATTTAACCGCTGCACCAGCGGGCCGGCCCCATTTTGTTAGATTTAGACTGAAGCATTTTAATGTTTTTGAACACTTGTAAATGGTATTGTTTTTAAAATTTCTATGTCCATATGTTCATTGCTTGAATATACAAATGCAGTTGATTTTTTTTTACATTCGTCTTTTATCCTGCCATCTTATTGAGCTCACTTTGAAGTATTTTTTCAGATTTCTTAGAATTTTCTACATGGACAATCATGTCATCTGCAAAGAGGACAGTTTTATGTATTTATTTTCCCAATTTGTATACCTTCTATGTCCTTCTCCTACCATATGGTGCTGGCTAGAACATCTAGAGCTGTATTGAATAAGAGTGATGAGAGCAGTCATCCTTGCCTTGTTCGCTGAGAGGGAAACCATTCACTCTTTCATCATTAAGCGCAACGTTTATTATAGGTTTTTTTCTCTATGCTCATTTTCAAGTTGTGCAAGTTCTCTTCTATTTCTATTTTTCTGAGAGTTTTTATTTAATCATAAATGACTATTGAATCTAGTCAAACACTTTTTTGCATTAATTGATATTATCATGTGACTTTTCTTCTTTAGCTGTTACTACAGTGGATTTCGTTGATCAATTTTCAAATCTTGCACTAGATTTGCATCCCTGGAATAAACTCTACGTGGTCATGGTCTATAAATCTTTTTATATTGAAGCATTCATTTGCTGGTGCTTTGTTCATAACTTTTGTGTTTATATTCATGAGAAGCACTGGTCTGTAGTTTTTTTCTTTTGTTTTCTTTTGGTATTGTCTTTATCTGGTTTTGATATTAGGGTAAGCCTCCTCAAGAGTCAAGGAACATGCCCTCCTCTTTTATTTCCCAGACGAGGTTGTATAGGATTGATGTTAATTCTTCTGAAATTGTTGGGCAGATTTCTCCAGTAAAGAAATTCTAGTTCTTTCCCAAAGATTTATTTTTTAGGAGTTTAAAAAATTATGAATTCAATTTCCTTAATAGTTAGGGCTATTCTAAGTACCCATTTCATATTAAGTGAGTCATGGTAGTTTGTGTCTTTTGAGGAAATAAAGTAAGATTAAGTCTTTTTATCTTACCTAGCAATAAATTTTTGATGTTACCATATACCTTTATTTCCAGACTACAAAAAGATGTTGAGAAAGACTAAGGAAAATGTTGTGTCCACTGTTAAGCTCAAGAAAAAATTATTACAAATATGGTTAAAGACTGTGTGCATTTCTCTTCCGTTTTTCTTCCACTCACCTCTACCCTAATGGCCACTACTCTGGGTTCGATGTTTATCATTCTCTCAGATGTCCAAGTAATTGTTTTTTTAATGTGGCTAACCAATATAGTATCCAGATGTATACTATCTGACTGGCTGGCACATATTGACATTAAACAATGATATTGACATGCCATTATTTTGGTTTGTTTCCACAGTTCTTCCAGTGTTTATTCAAGTACCTGAGGATACAAGTGCAGAGGTTGGAAAGAATGTAAATATTGCATGTCATGCTCAGGGAGAATCACAGCCCATAATTATTTGGAATAAGGTAAGACCTCAACTAAAAGCACAGCAACATTAAAAACACTGACAGATGTATTGACCCACTGAAACAGGTAATGATTCTCATATTGACTTATTGCTCCTGTGATTTTTGCTAGCAAGTAATACTTTTTACATGAAACAGGTTTATTTCCTGCTTCTTCTTCCATTTTTTCTAAGTGACTGTATCTGATTTTGGCTCAGGACTTTGGTAAATTCTATCCTTTCTCATTTGCTTAGTGATGAAAGCTTTATAAGCATAACGAAATTCCTCCAAGGAAAAATTGCTTTTGTCATGTATAAATTAAGAGTTTTAGTGGCTAGCAGGCAAGAGTTTTGAATTAATAACTCAGAAGTGGATTAAAAGTAGGTCATTAGCTGAAACAAGAAGGGAAATGAAAAACTTGGTTGATAAAACTAAATGACATAAAAACAAGTCCCTTTGTGGGTTCAAAACTTGAATGACTCTAAAGAAATAATAGCTCTTTATTTATATATCTTAACATACTTCCTTTGGTTCTTTAAGTCGTATTCTTTCAACATAATTGCTTCTTCCATTTTAAGTTTTCCATCCCAATGAAATGATTGGTCTCGGAGTCTAGTATTCTTAAAAGTAAATGAAACTACTTACACTTGAATGGCAGTTTTTGTGGAAAATTTTGACAAAATGTAAAATTTGTGAAAGGTTACAAAACTGTTTTCTAAAGCCACTTGGCTTATTTTGTTGTTGCCATATGGTAATATGATATTTTTGTGGCTCGCTTCTTTTGTGTTGTAGCTAAGGATCACATGCAGTTCTCTATAAAGAGTAAGTTTAGTGGTCTCAGACTTGAAATTTTAGGCACGTGTTCTCTCAAATAGTCTGAATATTTTCTATAATTCCTTTTTAATTTCATATTATATAACTCAAGTATTTTCATGCTAAAATACGAAGCGTGAAAAATGTTCATTTTGGTCAGTGTCTAACGCCTTATTTGATGTTCTGCTAAATGCTTTATCATATAATCCTATCAGCAAAATATCACGACATCTAATTTCTAAAAGGCAGCTTCTAATCACAAACAATTGTTTGAGGGCTGACTACATGCCAAACATTTCACATACATCATCACATTTAATCTTTGTAACAATCGTCTTCAATTCACAAGTTTGAAAGCGTGTGAGTTAGGATACTTTTGCTACAAGCAACAGAAACTACCTAAAATAAGCAGATTAGGAATTTATTGGAAAGCTATCTGCTCAGAGACTCTAAGCAAAAGTTGTAGAACTGTAGGTTTAACCTTAGAGTTCTGGCAGTAAGTAAGGAAAAGAGAAGAAAAGGGACCAACTTTGGAAACGAAGATGCAGCAGTGCTCCAGCAAGAGGAAGTAGAGAGAGCTGTCTTGAAGGAAAGACTGTCTGGGCCCTACTACTGTGACCTGGTCACCTCAGGCCCCTTCTATATATCTGGTCTCTTTCAGTCTGTCCTTCCATCTGGTAGGTCTCTCTTCTTCCTCTCATCCCCTACCTTGAGTTACCAGCTACCCATCACCTTGGTCTTTTTTTCTAGCACTGGCCAAAGACAGCTATGAGAATCTGAAGACATATGAAACATGTTTTCACTCTAAACCTTTAAGGTTACGTTCTGACCTGTTGGCCATCACTGGAGTATGAATTCTTTTGAAATAATATCTCCCATCCTCAGTTTCCTGTGAATCTCTTGGGGAGGGGCATGATAGAGGCATCTCCACCCTACTCCACTCCAACTGCAATTTCTTAAAGTCAATTTCTTTTACGTTTCAAAATTAACAGCATAATAATGAAAAGTACATAAATCCGTATTAATTATAAATGAATGCTCTTTAATAATATTTCATATAAAATGTAGTTATTTTTATCTTCTTAAGGTATAATTTTAATTGAGAAACATGGATATATATAAAAACTTTGCAGGTATACAAAATGGGTACATATAAAGAAGAAATAGAAGGGAAATCAGAAATATGAAAATATTTTGACGTTTTTAGGTGGTGGATTTGTGAGCATTTTTCTCCTTTTCAAATTTTATTTGTATTGTTGTTGCCAGAATTCTTTTTTAGAACTAAGCAGGATATGAATAAATTGTATATGTTCATCCATTGGAATGAGGATTTTAAAATCATCATATTAAATAATTACATGATTGAACTTTTGAGTACCATATTTATTTTGATTAGAGAGGGAGAGAAACTACACTCCCTGGAAACTTTTCTCTCTCTCTATCTCTTTCCTTCTTCTCTCCTTTAGACGCACAGTGCTTGACACATCATCAGCACCCAGAAGACATTTGTTGAGCAAATTAAACTCTATCCAACAAAATGTAGAGATTTTTTTTAAGGAATCACATTTTATTCCAGTGACCATTCTTCTTCACTCCCTAGGCAGGTGTTCAGATTACTGAGAGTGGTAAATTCCATGTTGATGGTGGAGGCATGCTAACCATCTATGATGTGGGGCAAGCTGACCAGGGAAGATGTGAATGTGTGGCTCAGAATCCATTTGGCCTTGTTGTGGCCAGCATGTTCCTCACAGTCCTTGGTAAGCATTTACAGCTCCTTATGCAACACTCAAATGAATGTCTTTGAAAGGCTCCTACTCGCAATCCTAATTGATTCACCTCACTACCCAGGTTCTTCTGTACATTCTTTCTAGTCAAACATGTTAATGTTAAATCAAAGCTATCTTAACTTTTTAAATCTAAGCTCGTAAGTGTAAACTATGTTAATGGGTGTTAAACAGCAAAAATACCAATGCTGAAAGGGAACATAAATAGCATGGATTTGCAAATGTATATCATCTTTTCTTAGGCATTGAAAATTATAGAATGTAAGATGTATTCATAGCCAAATAAATGTGGAGCAAGAGATTTTAAGGATAAATAGAATTCAACGTGGATTAGTCACTCTGCCCTAGTGTGTTTAATCCTACATTAAAGTTAAAAATCAGTCAGTTAATCAAGCTTCTAGGTAAGATTTGCCACTATGAGAACAAATATTTCAATATTTGGACGAATTTATAACTGGCCAACATAATCGTCATTGTTTTACATTTTATCCATAATCTGGTTGTATAGCTGTAGCCTTCTGCTAGTGGATTATAAATGACTTTAAAAAATTGATTGCCCTTGTTTTATAAAAAGTAAAATCCTTTTTCTCAATTAATCAGTTCGTATTGAAAGTGAAAGTCCACTTTTAGGCAGACTCAAGTAGACTGCGCTGAAACCTCAGCTGTAGTTGTAGAAACGGAGAGAGACTGCGATGATTGACTGACATAGTCTCCACGCGGGGAAGCATTCAAAAACAGCACAGCACGCCTGCACATATGAACCGACATCGAGTTGCTTTCTGCAGATGAGTTTAGGAATTTTTCCCTTGTTGACAATCGGCAGTTGAAATAAATGGGTCCCGCTACGAGCATATGGAGTGATGTTTGGGGCTTTGCCCATTTTTTGGTTTCCTTAGAAATGGGCAGATTTCATAAATAGGGTTTTGCAGACTCATTTTCTCCTTTTAGTTTTCCCAGTTTTCATGGGTTTATAAATTGGGTAACTCTTCTCATTATAAATACAAACCTGGCTAAAAATAGGTTCATTGAATCAAATCATAGCCTTAAAGATGTCACTATTTTCCTACCATATAATAAAATAGTTTCATATTCTTCCACCTGAAAATTCTGAGATATCAAACTTTTGCATATACCTTTTTTTGATATTTTTTATAAAGTGTATATTTTCATTAATGTCACATCAATTTTCATGTATATGCTATACTGTATGGTAAAAACGTATTCACTGAAGAATATTATTCTTGAAATTATAACAATGTAGCTAGTGACCAGCAAATATTTATTCTAGTAAGATCAGAAATTTTTTAAAACGTAGGATTTCTTAACATTACAAAAATCTTAGTCTTACTCATCTATTCTCTATCAGTTCATGTTTTTCCTGGTTTGGAATCCATGATAGTTGTATTTCTTTTTATAAGTTTGTGGAGATCTTATTCTGTTCTTCAACTGTTTATGAGAACTATGGAAAATATCCTTGAGGCATTTCTGCTTCTTTGTGTTGTCCTTGTCAGGTTTGGGGATCAGAGTGATATTGGCTTCATAGAATGTGTTAGGGAGTACTCCATCTTTCTCAATTTTCTGGAACAGTTTGAGAAGAATAGGTATTAAGTCTTCTTTGAATGTTTGGTAGAATTCTCCAGAGAAGCTGTCTGGTCCTGGACTCTTATTTTTGGGGAGGTTTTTGATTACCGTTTGTATTTCCTTACTTGTGATTGGCCTATTCAGATTCTCCATTTCTTCCTGATTCAGTTTGGGGAGATTGTAGGAGTCTAGGAATTGGTCCATTTCTTCCAGGTTGTTCAATTTGTTGGCATATAGTTTTTCATAGTATTCTCTTATGATCCCTTGTATTTCATTGATATCTGTTGTGATTTCTCCTCTCTCATTCCTAATTTTATTTATTTGCGATTTCTCTCTTCTTTTCTTGGTGAGTCTGGCTAATGGTTTGTCGATTTTGTTAATTTTTTCGAAGAACCAACTCTTTGTTTCATTGATCCTTTCTATTGTCTTTTTTGTTTCAATATCGTTTATTTCTGCTCTTATTTTTATTATTTCCCTCCTTCTACTGACTCTGGGCTTTGTTTGTTCTTCTTCTTCTAGTTCTGTTAGGTGTCGTTTGAGGTTGCTTATGTGAGCTTTTTCTTGTTTAGTGAGGTGAGCCTGTATTTTGATGAATTTCCCCTTGAGGCATTTCTGGAAAAAAGTTATTATAAAGTTTAAATTAACATCATTTACATTCTAGAGGTGCTAGAAAACTTTACTAGTAAACAAACAAACAAACATTCTCTCTCTGCCTCCTATTCTTTCCCTGTCTTGTCTGTCTGTTTCTCTCTGCCACACACACACAAACACCATAATCATAGTGGCAATATTTGAGAACCTCCAATAAGAATTTCATTGTGGGTGGCTGAAATTTAACTAATCATCTTATATATACTCTTTAAAAGTAAAACATTTGGTTAAAATGTCTTAATTACTCTATTTATCAGATTTTAAAACAGCGATAAGTAGTATTTATCAACATTATGCTCTATTGTGCAGAAAACAGAACATCAGTCTATAGGGATGAAATAATTCAAAAAAAGAAGCTATTCAATCAAGAAAAAGTATTATTATTTTTTGCTCTGGAGACATTTGTATATCAATATAAAGGAAAATTAATTTATATTTGCATCTCGTACTAAATAAATTTCATCATATTAGAAATATTTTTTAGAAAAGGAAGAAAAATGCAAGGATGTAAATTTAAAAGCTTTAAATAAATTTAAGATTTAAGACAAGAAATATGTGTGCATGTGTATGTTTACACAACCCAAATTAGCAGAATAGGAGAAAATGTGTCAGTATAAAATATCACCTATAGAACATTTTATGACTTAGAGCTTTTCATTCACCAGGTTATCCTAATTAAGAGAAAAAACGCATGCATTATAGGAGGATTTTCCCATCTTGCTGCCCCCACTTAGCAATTATGGGATTATGTAATAAGTGACACAAAGAGAATCACGCCTTTTGAGCTTCTATTCTACACTGGGGATTGTAATAATAGGAAATAATCCAAAATAATAAAAAACACACAACAACAATTGAAGCAAAATCTGGGCATCGTATATAAAAATATGTGCGTTTTACTGACTACTGCTCAAAGCAAAGCATTTATAATAGCAAAAGAAAGTTTCCGCAAGTTGTAATTTTTTAAGGAAGTTCATATATTCATAGATTTAATAGATTTTTAATGGTCTTAATAGATTTAAATAATCTATGCTTCTGATATAGTATTTACTGGGAACCTATCCTTTTGTTAGGATGTCCTCAATGTATTTTATGTTGGCAAATGTTGTTCATGTCTGCTTGCTTCTTTCTCTAGATAAGATGTGGTATCTGAATGCTCCACCTTTTACTTTAGACTTAAAAAAACCAAATTTTGGTCAAAATATAATTTATTTTAACACCTCCTGTGTATATATTGATACGTCGTTAAGTGCTGTGAAGTAGAAGGCTCATTTCTTGCTTGTGAAAATGAGTCAGTCTAACTGAGGCCACAAGACAAGATTAGAAGTGTGAGGTAGTGGGGAAAACCCTGGGTTAAGTCATCAGACTTCATTTTGTAGATCTCAGCCGCTTTGTATAACTTACTTACTCATAACAGGAATTAATTTTCTCATTTCTTAAAAAAGTGGAATTGGACACTTTCAAGAGTCCTTTTTGGCATAGAATTTCTGTGTCTATGATAGAAACAAATGTGCAATAATAGTCAGGAGGCAGTTTACAGCATGTCTACATGATAGAATACTTACCATTGACACACTTAAATAATAAGTGGACAAGGCTACAAATGAAATGGTGACACAAAATTTATTAAATAAAAATTCTGGAGCACAAATAACATGCGCGTATTTTTTAAAATTATATAAAAACAAATCTAAACCATGTTGTCTTCCCTGAAATTCTGAGTTGAATATCTAATTGTTTGTTGGACTTTTCATTTTGGTTGACGCACAGTTCTCCCAATTCCAGATGTTAAAAACTGATCTTGAATGTATTCTAAGCGGAACTCCATATTTTCCCCGAAAGATCCTGTTTCCTCCTAGCGGCCCTTTAATATCATCCATATTTGTCTAATCGGGAAACCTGTGCCCCTCCTGATTCTTCTCCTCCGTTCTCCTCCTTTACCTCAACGACTACGCCTCACCAGTTTTTCCTCTCAGATATTGCTGCTTCTCCACTTCTCTCCGTGACATCCTCTTCTAGGGTCACCTTTGGTCATTCAGACTTTTGCAACAATGTTAGAAATTATCTTCCCACCTGTGATATTCTCCATTTCACCTATATCCTCAACCCAACAAATTATTATTGAACTAAACTGAATGAGAATTAGGGCTGCATTAGTTGACTTTAAGTTAGTGAGACCTTTTCTATTATGTTAAGTACGTAACTGGTATTAAACTCATACTAATAATACTAATAAAAAATAGTTAATATTTCTTGGACATTTACCATGTGTTCCACGTGCTCTCTATCAAATAACTTATTTAATTCACGTATGATCTAGTTATTTTTCAAAATCTGAATGATTTACTGATTATCTAACATTTTAATCCAGATATTTGTCATTGTCTGGACAAAACATCTGTTTCAAAATCACTGAAGTTGTTGCACAATGAATAAACTATGAAGTATCAAAACATTTTAATTAATTATATTTGCTCAAATGTATCAATGAAATGAAACTGATAATTGAATTATTTTGAATTGCTATTTTACTATATTTGTTAATTTACTCTCAGTATGGTATAAATTTGTTTACATAATAATTAACAGATACATGACAATCTTGTTTACCAGACTAAACTTTACTAATACAATGAATAGTGAAATATTTCTATAAAGAACTGCATGCACCTAATATATATGCACATATATTTATAATACCTTTGTCCGTATTGAACATATTTCTTATCCGTTCATACATGAAATCTATAACAAACGCATACGTCTATCCTGAGATAAGCCATGTGTTCTCAAAAATTTTAGCGTTAAATTTTAAGATCAGTAAGTAACATTTTCAGATTTTTGGTGTAGTAGTTTTTGGATAGTTTGGAAATTATTTTTAAAAAACCAAATAATCAAAATAAAAGGCATATCTCAAACATCAACCTAAAAATAAATAGTTGGTATCTTTCCTTTTTCAGTCTCTGGAAAAACAGTGGAGCCTGCAAGACTGTGAGCCCATTTACATGTTTAATGATGCAAATGATGAGTAAGGCAGAGTTGTTGCTGTTCAAAGAAAATTATATGACAAAGGCAGTCATTAATGTCAATTTGTATGCTGTAGAAGGATCTGATTTCCTAGGACAGCCCTCACAAGTGTCAGGGGTAGTCAGTGTCATTCTTCTGAGGGGGAGATTTAATGTGATAAGGCCTATTTAGTTATGATAGTCGCGTTATCTGGCTCCTTTTCTCTCAGGGGAGGGGGGATAAAGAGTACTCCAAAACTCTATTGGCAATTGTGAAAGAAACTGGGCTTTCACTGAGGTCTAGGTATTTTGTGGTGAGAGAGAGCAGGAGCACAGCTGCGGTTCCATCCGCAGTCATCCAGAGCCGGGCCTTTGATATGGTGGGCACAGCACAGTTGACCTGACACGCCATTTGGCCTGAGCTCCCCTTTCCCTCCAGTTTACCTTTGACTTTATCCTCAGTGGTGGTGACAGAGCCTCATACATACATGTGCCGGATTAAAAGTAGTTGCTCATCAGATGACTTGAAACGTGTTTATTTTGTAACCCTACTGAGGCTTTTTTTTCTTTTTGTTAACCCCAAGACTTATAGGAAAATGTTCTAGCTCTCTCTCCACCTCTGCAAAATTTTGCATAAAAAGATGGAGAATATGTCAGAATTTTCTGATCATTCTATCCCTTATGTCATTAATTGAGGTGTTTTTTGAGACAAATAAGATATTAATAGTATTTTTTGATTCTAATGTGCCCTAATAGACTGAATTTGCTTTGCATAATGCAGTGCTGTTCTGAAGAAATTTATGGAAATAGTTTTGCCATTTGTACCAAACCAAACAATACTGAAACTAAATGAATAATAAAAAGGTTATTTTATTTTACCCTAAAACTATGAAACTTAAAAAAATTCCTAAGTAAAATGACAAAAGTGAGAATTAATGTTACTAAGAATATTTTCTGTGCGAACATATTACATATTTAATGTTCCTTTAAGAATCTGTGAAGAGACAACTTTTATTGTTTTCTATTTGTGCACTTTAGAATTTAATTATTTCAAAGAATATTTACATATTATGCTACCTTTCTTCTTACTTTCTGCTCGTTTTCATGCTTACACTCTTGTTGGTTTCTTATTAATACAGAGAAATAGCAAGTCAAGTTGAAGGAAATGACAGGACAACACAGTATCAACTGATAATTATGTGAGGATATAGATTACCTATTGGTTTAAAACACAAGAATCATTGAAAGTCACCTCATATTTGCATTGTGACATACAGTTTTCAAAGAACTTTGCATGCCTTTTTTATATGATAATCACGTTTAATAACTGCATCAAGCCTGAACCATAAGCTGAGCAAGTCTCATTAATTCTATTTTATGAATGAGTCAAAAGATGAAGAGATGTTGTCAAATTCCTCATGCTTATAAATTTATGCAAATATACAGCAAACCTCTTTTATAAATAGAATCAAAGCAAAATTATCAAACAAATTAAATTCAGATTAACATGTTAAATGATGCTTTCCTGAAATTTAAATATCACTTCCCAAGTTCTGTCTGCCACAGTGAACAGCCTTTTGAGTTATGGCATCTCAAATCCACTGTGTGCAGTGTGATAACTCGATCCTAGTGCACAACTTTTCTTCCATTCAAATCCAAGTAGACCTGTGATAGTATGTTATGCACACAGGTGCAAGTAGTCTACTGACAGTGATTGTCATGAACAAGAGCAACTGATTCACGGCGCTTTCTACACTCAAGGTTCACAAGTAAAGGAGTAAAAGAGAAGTGATAGAGAAAAGGCTAACATCTTGATTAAATTATCAAGTCAGTCTACATGCCAGCACAGGTTGATTTGATTGATCTCAGTTGCTTTATTTCCAAGTAAAAGTAACGAATTAAGTGGCTCATTCTCACTTTTTTTTTTAACATAATCATTTTATGGCAATCTTTTTTAGTTTTCTAATTGTTACGTTAAGCAGTCATTTTAGCATCCCTCCACGTGAGTGTTCATCAATTCTAAGTGCTGCATGATATTCCATATTGTACATCCACCACATTTTTCTCATCCACACTTTCACTGCTGCACTAGCAATTTTCTCCAACTCCTTCTACACAAAATTTCAATGAACATTCTCATTTATACCCCTTATGGATTCGTATAAGAATTTCTCTGGATATATATGTCGGAATGAGATTGCTGGGTGAGAGAGTGTGCAAATACGTAATTTTACAAAGTAAAAACAGAACTCCAAAAAGTCACTAAACAAAATGTCGGAAATAGAAGCACCAATTCTGCATTCTCACCAGCCTGCCTATGTCCACTTAAAACCCCTGCCAAAACTTAGCACTAGCCAGCTTTTTTTATTTTTGCCAGAATAAGCAGAAAACGGTAGTTTATTGATACTTAAAATTTTATTTCTGAGGTTATAAGTGATTTTGAATATCTGCTACACACTTATTAACTTTCAGGTGTCCTCTCTTATAACTTGCTCATACACAGCTTTTCTTAATGCATTGTAAGAATTTCTTGTATGAAACAGAATATTAATTCTGTGTCAGAATTTAGAAATTGCAGATGTTGTTACCCACTATGTCATTTACCTATGACCTTTTTACCTTTTTTGTTCATGTTCTTCCCTGGACAGAAACTGTTAGTCTCATGTAATCAAATCAATCAATTTGTCTTTTTTTCTTTCAATTATCTTTAGCTAATATATGGTCAATTCAAAATGTTTCTTATACTAGAAAAGGTAACACTGACCTTCTGGAGCTTCAATATTCTGGTCAGGATAAAGATTGAGTTAAATTGCCTGTGTAGCCTACCACTTATAATTACTGCACATAATCCAGTTTACTAAGAAGGTTTTATCAGAGTCATTGATCTCACTGTTTTTCTTACAATATCTATACTATTGGTATTTTTTTCTTGAAATTGTTTATGTTAGTGGCCTTTTTAGGACAATAAAACAACCTAGTATGTATATATGGTCATAATATAAAGAAATTTTCTTATAACACTCAGATGTGGAATGGTATTTGGACCTATCTATTGCAAAAATATATAAACATAAATATATATATGTAGATATATGTATATGTAATATTTTAATACTATGCTGTATTACTTAATACAATATATAAATGTATTAATATAGTATATAATTGATAATATGTAAAACATACCTCTTCCTATTTTTATTTGTTTTCATCTCTCATTTCTCTTTAATGATATTATTTTCAAATTCAGTTTTTGAAACTATACTTACTCTTGCTTTCAATATTTAACAGTACTAAAAAGTTATTTTTCCCATGTCACATACATTTTTATTATACTTTTGAACTAAATAATATGGATATGCTTGATTATTTTTCTTATATGAATTTTAAATATTAATCCATGATCATTTTTGTTTAGTATTTCTTCCCTTAAGGTTAAACTTCTTAAACCATCATCTGGAGAAGATTTAATATGTTGACAATTATGAACTCCACTTTAAGTGAAAAGCTTCCTTTGTCTATAATATTCAACTAGACAAAATTCTGACACACCGAAGAGCTATAGAAACAGTATGAACTATTTTTCACTGAAATCTTCCTGAGAGTTCAACTCTTGCTTTAAGATATCTCCATAGGGATGTGACAATATTTACTTTGTTTTAATGTTTAACATTAAAGCAAGGTGGCTGAAGAGATAGACGTTTCTACCTTCCCCAAGATGACAAATTGTTAGCACACTTGAATCCCATTTGAATCAGTGTAGTAAGAAGGAAATATTTCACACAGCTTTACTGATTTTGGAGTGCTTTATTTCCCCAAACAATGCTGTTATTGTTGGTGGAAGCTTTGCTTCAGAATAATTACCTACTCCTCTGCAATGGACTGCATCGTGTGGACACTATAACATTTTTATTGCTGTAGAAGTTTTTGTAACGCCATTTAAATCACATCATTCCTAACTTCAAGGTCTGTTTGATATTTTAGTCATGGAATTGATTTTCAAAGCAACACATGGGAGACAAGCTGGAGATGACTTTGTCGAATCGTCCATTCTTGATGCTGTACAGAGGGTTGACAGTGCAATTAACTCCACAAGAAGACACTTGTTTTCACAGTAAGAATTTATTTTATTTTGATTACAAAATTGTTTTCACTTTGGTTCTACTTAGTTTTTATGGTCTCCATAAATCACAGCAAGGTTAGTACATAAGATTGCCAAATCGTGCTTTCTACAGTTCATGTGCAGCTACCACCTTTTGGGCTAGCCGTCATTGCCAGTTCAGCCTCGAAGAGAAGGAAACTTGTTCCCCGTAGAATCTAAATGGTATTAATTTATGTCACATATCTAGTTTTATGGTCCCACAATAGATGTCAGGAAATGGGCCCTGTTGTGCCAACATTCACCAGACAGTATCAGATCCAGTGTTTCTGTCAATCTGTGAACTGAGAATGATTGTCAAGTTGAACACACCTGGTCATACACTGTAAGCCCACAAGTGAAAATTTTGCTTAGGATATGCAGTGTTTTGGTTTATTGTAATTTGAATCAGAAGGTCTTTAGATTAATGAAGTCTTCCCGTTCCATAAACTCTAATTGTCCTGATGGAGGCACCCAGGATGCTCTGCAACAACTGAACACGTTAAAGAAAACATGATTGCTGTCTTTGTAGTCAAATAAAGTGTATACCCAGTTTTTACAGGTCTTGATCAAAAAGGAACACCTCAAAATGCCATAATTGGGGCCGGCCTGGTGGCACAGTGCTTAAGTTCACATGCTCTGCTTCAGCGGCCTGGCGTTCGCGGGTTCAGATGCCGGGTGCAAACCTACACACCACTCATCGAGCCATGCTGTGGTAGTGTCCCACATACAAGATAGAGGAAGATTGGCACAGATATTAGCTCAGGGACAACTTTCCTCAGGCAAAAAGAGAAAGATTGGCAACAGATTTTAGCTCAAGGCCAATCTTCGTCACACACACACACACAAAACTACTGCTGTAATCAAGTATCACTCTGTTCCCTGCTTATCCCCAAACAGCCTATTTGGGGAGTCATACAGCCATTTATAATCTTATTGTGATTCCTCACTTCATCACTATCTGGGTGACCTTGGCCAAGTGACTAAATATCTTTGTACCTCAGACTTTTTGCTTATAAAATTGGGATAATAATAGAATCTACTTCATGGACGTACTTGCCAGGAGAATTGAATAAGTCAATACAGATAAGGTGCTTCAACAGTGTCTGGCATATAGAAATGTCTAATTAGATTGGGCTATTAATATCATTACTATTATTCTATGATCTAAAGTTGTTATGGTTACAGACACAGAGGACTAGACTTGCCTCAGTTGACCAAAATCTCTAAAACAGCTTCACATTCTCAGTGATTTTAATATTCTTTTTACCTTTTTTAGTTCAGTTCTCCAGATGTGCATAAACCAGTATTGTGTGCTGGTCAGTGGGCTCGGTACGTGGGATACAAAGATGAATAAGGCATCCCCTCACACCTCATCCCTAACACAGTCATTCTTTAGTAGAGGAGACAACAAGTCAGCAATTTAAGTACATCTTGTTGTGTACTTGATAGATGCACGTAAGGATATAGAAGTGAGCAAAACGAGGAAGGCTTGTCAAAGCTTATATAGGAGACTATAGGGAGAGTGATGCCTGAGCAGGATTTGAAGGTGAGGGGGAATTTCCAGGAAGTTATATTTAGGGAAAGAGAAGACAGAAAGTGCCAAGACCCACATACTGAGAGTGCTGCACTCTATTTCGGAGAGTTACTGAGTCCCCTAGGACCCATGCATGGGCCTCCCAAGTTTACAACACCCCCCCCCATTGACAGAGAAAACTATTATTTCAATCATCAGTTCATTAAGAAGCATATCTTTTGAGTTCAGCACTGTTACTTACGTTTGAGATTCACTTATTAACAAATTAGGAAAAGAACCCACAGCTCCCCTGTGGAGCTTGTATTCCATAGTGGAGCTTTCATTCTTCTCAAACTTTTGGAAAATGTAGTCTTAAATGCACAGCATATGTGAGATTCATGGGTCCTGCAGTTTTGCCTTGCAAACAGTAATATCTTTTGTCATTTGCAGAAAATCTTGCACCCCTAGTGATCTGCTGGCTCAGTCTTGTTATCCGCGTGACCCGTTTACCGTGGAGACGGCCAGAGCTGGGGAGATTTTTGAGCACATACTTCAGTTGATCCAGGAGCACGTGAAGCAGGGACTCACTGTGGATTTGGAGGGCAGAGGTCAGCCTTGAAGCATCCTGTTCTAAGCCTACTGTCCAGAGAAAAACTGACCACCCCTCAGCTTTTAATCTCCAAAGCATCACGTGATTTAGAAATTAATTTGCTACCACTTTTACCAAATGAATGTAGATGTTTCTTGTAGGAACTGTAATTCAAAAGTAAGGACGACAAATATATATTCAAACTGGTCAACTTTTGCCACTTATATATGTCTAGTAAGTCTAGGGGGCCCATTTTATGTGAATGTACTTTTTAAATCTAAAAGATATTACTACTTCCTATAGCAAATCCTTTATTCTCAGCGTAATGTTTCTCTACTTATCATTGTAATCACTGAAGTCATTCAGTGAATTGATTTGAATTCCTTCCACCTCCTATAACATATGTATCCCTCTCCACTCTCTCTCTCTCTCTCTTTGCTGTACTGAAGTTCTAGTGTATTTCTTTCCAAAACCAGACATTATTTAGTATACGTTGAATCAGAATGATATAGAAATCTTTCAGATTTTCTAAGCCATTCTTTTTAAAATGAAATAAATGAATGTGATCCTCTGCTATACACTATCTGTGCTGTGCGTGCAACAGCAGCTTCTATGGCTTTACCCTTTCTTTACCCCCCTTCAGAAAATAAACTGAGATATGGTGCACAGGACTCATCCCTTAGGTGCTCTGTACTGTTACTTCAAAGTATATTTGACAGCCCCTAGTAGTCCATTATGTCTTGGGTTTCAAAGCTTCCCTAACTAAAACATCCAAGTGAAAATTCCATATCAGTCCCTGTTAGCAATTGGTTTAAACTTCTGGCTATTTAATTTCGAGTCACACCAGGTATGAGTTAGCCACGGTCAGGTCTGCAAAAGGCCAGTTCTACATCCTTCCTCACTCCAGGCAAAGGTCAGGCCCACACATCTTTCTGGATGTCTTTGAGTTCTCTACTCACACATGTCTAGAATAATTTAGTCTAAATTCATAACTAGAAATTAAGAAGTAATCAATATCTGCAGAGATTTAGCTCTGCTAAAACATGCATCTGACGTTCATGGGGTCCATTACCAAAGTGAATATGTCTTCTCATTGAAAGTACTCAAGAACGTAAACAATTTTCTCCCAGGAAAAAAACACTACGCTATTCTACTTCTCTTTCATTATTTGTAAAGTTAAGACCCTTTTTCCCCAGGAGCAGCTTGCCCTAAAAGTGAACCCAGTGTCCATGTCTGGATATACAGGAAGATTATTGTATCTATCCAAAACTAAGGTATCTGGGGTCCCAACCAGGGACTAGCTTACACAGATAAAGGACAGATGGCCCTGGTGTCATTAGCCAGTTTCTGATGATTAAAATAGGGATAATAACTCTTCACAAGCATGACTTAGTGAATAGTCTTTGCAGATTTGGGATAATGCTGCAATTTCAAGCACTGTTACAAGAGTGGCTCCAAGGCACCTCTGAGTTGTGTGATACATTCCCTGGGGAATGACAGCTTGTTGTGACTTAAAAGATACTGCTTAATCCCTTCATATCAAGTAGTATGTGGGTTAATACTCACACAATCCACATTGGCAAATCTTAGATTCTGTCTTCTAGGAGTATAAAACCTAAAAGGAAGAATTCTGAAATGGAGCAAGGATTCACAGTCCTCTGATGAGGATTAAAATATCCTTACCAACATTATATTGGTAAAGTCACAGAAGAAAGAGTTGGACAGGAACGAGAACATGTTTCTCCCTTTTTGTTCATTCTAGCAGTTAGTCATCATAACTGAGATAGACATCACTATTCCCCTATCGTTTGGAAGTTATTGTCTAGCTATGTCTCCCCTATGTTTGTTAGAACTAATGAAATACTGTTGGATGCAAGAAGGATTTCTGCTCACCAGATGGCCTGTTGCCCATCGAGCCTAGAGTTTGAGGTTCTCCCCTCTCTCCCCTTCAAGGACAGCTCTCTTCATTGCTCTTGCTGCTCTGCATTTCAGAATTCTGCTACAATGACTTGGTGTCCTCGCGCTACCTCAGCCTCATCGCCAATTTATCTGGATGCACAGCCCACAGGCACGTGCCAAACTGCTCTGACATGTGTTTCCCCCAGAAGTACCGAACTCAGGATGGAACATGTAACAACCTGCAGCACCCAATGTGGGGCGCCTCGCTCACGGCCTTTCAGCGCATCCTGAAACCTGCTTACGAGAACGGCTTCAACTCACCCCGTGGGGTTGGCCGCCACACCCCATCCAATCCCCTTCCACTGCCCAGGCTAGTCTCAACAGAGCTGGCGGCCACGGTGACTGTCACTCCCGACGATAGATACACACACATGCTCATGCAGTGGGGCCACTTTTTAGACCACGATTTGGACCATACGGTGCCTGCATTAAGCATGTCTCCCTTCTTGGATGGGCAGCCGTGCAGCTCTGTGTGTACTAATGATCCTCCTTGCTTCCCCATTGTCATTCCTCACACTGACCCCCGGGGGACCGGAGCACCGTGCATTCTTTGCACTCTCCAGTCCTGTGTGTGGCAGCGGCATGACCAACTTGGTGATGAATTCAGTGTACGCCCGAGAACAGCTAAACCAGCTCACAGCATACAATGATGCCTCTAATGTTTACGGGAGTTCAGAGCGAGAATCCCAAATTCTCAGAGACCACTCAGAGCCCCGGGGACTCCTGAAGACAGGCTTACCTTGGGCCCCTTCTGGAAAGCACTTACTGCCTTTTTCCACAGGCCCACCTGCTGAGTGCACAAGACAGGAACAAGACAGCCACAGCCCCTTTTTCCTGGCCGGGGATCACAGGGCTAATGAGCAGCTGGCTCTCACAGCCATGCACACCCTGTGGTTTCGGGAACACAACAGGGTTGCTAGGGAGCTGTCGGCCCTCAACCCCCACTGGCATGGAGACACCCTTTTTCACGAAGCCAGGAAGATTGTAGGTGCAGAGCTGCAGCATATCACCTACAGCCACTGGCTGCCCCAGATCCTGGGGGAGCTCGGCCTGAAGATGCTGAGGGACTACCAAGGCTACGACCCCAATGTCAACGCAGGGATTCTTAACTCTTTTGCTACTGCAGCCTTCAGATTTGGCCACACATTAATCAATCCTATCCTTTATCGACTGAATGACACTTTTAGTGAAATCCCTGAAGGCCACCTTCCACTCCACAAAGCTTTCTTTTTACCCTCCAGAATAATCAAGGAAGGTGGGATAGATCCACTCCTTCGGGGGCTATTTGGCGTGGCTGCTAAATTGCAGGTGCCCTCGCAGCTGCTCAGCCTGGAGCTGACTGAGAAGCTGTTCTCCACGGCGCATTCTGTGGCCCTGGATTTGGCTGCCACCGACATTCAAAGGGGGCGAGACCATGGGATACCTCCGTATGTGGACTTCAGAGTTTTCTGCAATTTGACTTCTGCTCAGAACTTTGAAGATCTTCAAAATGAAATTAAAGATTCAGTGATTAGACAAAAACTGAAAAAGTAAGTATGCAAATGTTGCCTAGATTTAAACATGTCTTGGGAGAGGTAGAAGTGTGTTGTCCACAGCCGCAAAGGACAAGGAATGACAGGTACCGCCAAGGCTACTTGGTTGTTTAAGCAATCAAAGTTTATTGATAAAGGGAAACAGAACAAGGAGCAGGGATAAAGGGGAACAACAAATTGGTACTTACAACATCCACACCACAATCAGCCAGGGAAGTCCCAATGGTTTGTCTGGCGGGTGGGAGTGCCGATTGTCCGGGGCTGAGCCAAAGAGTCCTTTCCTCAGTGAGACTTCTAATTGTTCTATGCCTGTGACTCCCTTTTATCCTAAGGTTTCTCTGGCTTCTGACTCAGTGTTTTAGACATTTGGATACTTTGAGTTATTTCTTCTTGTTCCCACGAATAGGGTGTTTCTATCTTCTTTGTTTCCACGGATGGGATGTTTCTAAAGTCCAGTCAGGTGCCCGTCAGGGTGGCCAGCCCAGACAAGGAACATGACGCAGAACATATTCTTTGTAACTTGTGCCTTAGAGTCAGGGCCGAAGTGGCCATCTTTGGCCCCGAGCCCAGACACATTCCTTCGTGTAGGGCCCAGGCCCAGTGTCCTTGGAAGGCGAGGAGGTCAATGAACTCTGTACAAAGTGTTAAAGGGCATTTTGTGAGGATGGAATATGGTTTCCTAGTGATGTGATTGCAGAACCTTTAGTGATTGTTATTGAGGGAGAAGTTTCATGTTAAATGAAGGATTTCCCCTGCTAAAATCCCCGCCCTCACTCCTCGGTCTCTTCACTTTCTTTGTAAATGCAAACACTGCTGCCTCTTATTAACTAGCCAGCACATCTCACCTAGGAGAAGCTGGCTTGTCTAGTTCAATCATGCTCTATGGGAATCTAAGCAAGGCCCTCTTACTGGTGTGATAAGGCCAAATGTTCTGATGTTAAGCCTTGTCATAAACTGAGCCATCACACAGGCTTTCTTAGGCAGAGTAAAGTGGTGGAATGAAAACAGAAATTATTTTTGGTCAAAAGAACAAATAATTCTGAACATGTCATGAGAATGTAAGTCAAGTCCTTTCCACTGCATCACTAATGACTTTCAGTGAAGTGTCAGTATTATATCCTCCATAGGAGAGATTCAAATTTCTTTAAAGTTACAAGTATAAAACATTTCCAGGTAATGGCTTTAACTGTTCCTCTTGCTCACCACCCCTCATCCTTTAAAATGTTAAAAAAATATTAAAGAAATGCTTCATCAAGATGGTTTTTTGCCTATAGTAGGCTAAATATAGAAGACATATATTTACTAATAGATTAAGGTATATTAATGTGAAATCTTTCAGAGAAGTTTAATATTTTTTACAAATTAGGTAGCCAGTTATCAATCAGAGTATTACAAATTTGTGAATTTCTACTGGAAAGCACATTGACTCTGGTTTTACAGAGACCTGGTGTAAATCTCTGTTGCATCACCTGTTAGTGCTGAGAGCTTGTGGAAAGTATTTAAACCATTTTGAATCTCAGAATATCTACAAAATGAGAAAGTACTGCCTCCTTCTCAGAGTTATTTCAAGATTAAATTAGATAAAATGTGTCAAATGCCTAGCTCAGTTCTGGTGCATCACAGGTAATCAGTCAATGTTACCTGGAGATAGTTTTATTACAGCATCATCATTTCAGTTGTCAGCATTATTATTATATTGCACATCTGCTATGATCCAGCCCTGTGCTAGACGCTGAGACCCGAGATGAAGGAAATAATGTGCGTGTTCTGCAGAGCCTGACAGCATGCAGAGAAGGCAGGGAGCTGCTGTAATCAGTGTGAAAAGGGCTGTCATAGACAGGGGAATTGAATCTTATAGGAGCACAGAGCTGAGAAATGGAAGGTAAGTGGAAGATTCACAGCAAGCTACTGATAAAAGATGCCGTTTGATCTCCTCTTGGAATTTTCTGAGTGTGATAAGTTGAATGATATGGGAACAGCAGTGTATCCTAAGAAGAGGGATGGGAGCAGGAAAGTGTAGCGTTGAGTGGCAGGAGAAGGGAATAGAAAGGTGATAGGGGACAGCTTTTAAAGGGCCTTGTGTGCCATGCAAAGGAATTGATCTTCCTCCTGTGTTTAACTCTAAAGCAGGAGAGTAACATGAAGGGAGACTTTTCCGTGAAATGATAACCTGCAGAAGCTGTACTGGAAGGAGGAAAGGCTAGCAGCAAGGAACTCCACAGTTCCTGGAGTGGTCCAAGTGCAGCAAGAAGACGGCTTAGATAGGCTTGTGGCAGCACAGGCAATACTATCAGTATTTTAAATGTGTCCTGTGAGCACATTATCTATATTGAATAAAGCTGGGGGCAAGTCTTGCTTTGCCATTCATTTAATTCCCACTTCTCAATTCACAGCTAACTTGTAAATTCACCACAAATTATTGAGTACCAGAAATGTTTCCCCTGCTTGTCGTTGCACACACAACATTAGTCTGACCTGTACATACGGCCCTCCACTGCAGGACACGTCCTCCCAGGGGCTGTTGCCAAGCATAACTGGCCTTTCCAATGGACAGTGGCCAGAGTTGCTGCGCATTGAGTGTTCTCACATCTGACTTTCTGGATGCTCTGTTAATGCATTGGGATCTTAACACAGAGCCTTCTGAAACCTAAACATCAAGTTGTTATCCTTGCTTCGGGGAAGGTTTGAACTAGGGGAACTTTGTGCAGCCTGACATGTGGCCTCAGCCTGAGGAGAGCAGGGCTGACCAGCATGAATGGGTGCAGGGAGGCCATAGGCCGAGCTGTGTTCCTTTCCTCTCAGGCTGCCCAGATGTCTGACTTTCTCCTGTGATTCATAGCGAATTTATAAAATATCAATGATAGACTCATTCAACTGTGAGTGTAAAGTAAATAAATTGGAATGGCTTTTACAGTCTTTATCCTCACATCGGTAGACTGCAGTTTGCCCGGAGCTGATTATGCTAATAAAGATGGTATGGCTTTAAGTATGCTAACTTAGTATTTCTTTACTCTCCCTTTACTTCCTTTCCTTTTTGTGTTAATTTACAAGTGTGGTTTTAAGCCTTTGTTTCTAAACCACTTCTGTTAATTTTGGAAAAAAGTAGAGCATAGGTCATTGAATCAATAAAATAAATACAGACATTAACAACTTCATATTTTATACAGTTAGGACAGATTTATTAAGAATCGGCCAAAACAGGGAATCATAAAGATAATGCATGTGCACATCTTCACATTTGAACTTCCCACATTTGGGCACACATTAAGTTCTGTAGCTTGAGCTCTGCAGAGGACAAAGTCCGCTTTCTTGCTTTGTCCTTGCTGCTTTGGTATATTTCTGCTGATTAAGAGTCTTCGGTTACCTGGTTTTGGTGTGAGCTATGCCCAGACTGAATCTTTTGTGATTGCAAATTTGTTGTGAAAGGGGAATAAGAATTTGCTATGGAAGCAATGGTATGAACACAAATTCCTTGTATATGTTTATACAATTCCCTAGGAGTTTGTAGTTACATAGTATGCAATGAATCGGCACCAATTTTTGACTCTCTTTTTGATAAGTCTTCCCAAAACATTGAATTTAATTTTCACAGAAATAAGTTCTCTCCTCTTTTAAACAAATAATTTATTATTTTACATAAGATTTAATTAAATTACATAATCCAAATCACAAGTACAGGTGTGATAAACCAGTTTGTAAACCCCACTGACTCTGAGCTGAAAGCTCGACACGTGGAGGCTGCTGCTCAGGGAGGAATCACTACCTGGGGTCATTTGCCATCATCAAAGTCAGCAGGAGTGGGGAGCCCTGAAACATTAGGATTTTCAGTGAAGAAGAGCTTGTTTAAAATAGCTGACATGTGTTGTACACTGTACAAATTTTGTGTTAATTAAAATATTTAAGATAAAGAGATAGGCTACATAAAATATTAGCAAATTAAGAGAAAACCCACAAGAGTAGTACTAGGGGGACAGCAAAAATCTTCATGGTGGTGTCAGGAGACTGGGTTCTTTCTCTCTGTTCAGACAAATTGAGTTGCGTGATCTTGGATGACTTTAGATGAGTTTTCTCGTTTTCTCATCTATAAAGTGAGGATGTTTTGCTAAAAGATTCTTGACATCCTTCTAGAGCTAAGATTATAGGATTTTTCAGTTAACTATTGTCTAAGTGATAGATTAAAATAATACTTTAAAAGATGCTCTTTAATTAATAGTTTTAATCCACACTCATGATGTCTTCATATTCCAGGAATGCTTCTCCTCGTCTTCACATGTCATCAGGTCTACAAAGCTAATGATTTTCCTTCACTTCAGTTAGTTTTGAAAGTTTGTGTCAGTTTACCACCCAGAAGTAAAACCTAATTTTCCCTGTTGCCTTCTATTAGTACCTTCACATTGGACCTTTTAGATAGCTTGTAAAAAGCTGGAACGACATGTGCAAAACCATTCTAGACTTTCCTCTCAAATGACTGACTATTTTTGTCATGAGCAGCACCTGGTCCATCACAGGAAAGGCCGCATGGGGACATTATTTTAGTCATCCTTCAGTTCACTTCAGTAAAATTGCCTGGGTACTTTGGGTTTTCCTCAAGGAGGTCAGGGCACGGAGTGTGGGGGATGCACAAATCATATCATCCCGTTGGCTGACACATGGAGTAGCGGAAGCACAGAGCTCAGGAAGGATTTCTCCCAGAAGAGGGCGTCAAAACTCAGTCCTAAAAGGGGAGTGGCAGTTATCTGTGAAAGACTGTCGTTTGAGAGAAGATGGACAGACGTCATCAAGATAAAGGAAATATAGAGGAAAGACCTGGCACCAGGGCCAGTGTAATAGCATGGGAATCTGAAGGCCTTTGGCCCTGCTGGCTTGTAGAGATAGAGCACACTGCATGGAAGAGTCTAATCCTGGGATTAGCATGGGACTCAGCTAACTCCAGAGATATTAAGACTGATGGGGGCAACGGACACTTTCTTCCTGAGTGAAATTGTATATGGAGCCCT